GAGGGCCAGTCATCAACTGTTTAAATGTTCACTTATCAATAAGCCAAAGTCTGTGGAGGCCATAATGGCCCTGCTTTAAGTGGTTTGCTGCTCCCGCAGCTCACCACGCTGTCTCTGCCTCCATCGCCATCTTGGATCTCCCAATTGTTTTTATTTTTTAAAGAAAGCATTTCCAGAACTGAAAAATAACCCATCATATATCACGTATGACGTAAAAGCGCTCCATGTCTGTTCATGGTGCAGGTGGCCTGGGTGGGTGCAAGGAGTGATTCTTGGAGAGGGAGTGCGCTCCCTTAGAGATAATAAGCACTAACCGCCTTTCATAAAAGCAAACTGTGGAGCTTCTGAGAGCGGGGAAAGTGTCGTGTCCGAAGCCAGTTTGGCCACTTTCAGGTTACGTTTTTTAGCAACGTTAGGACCACGATCTTGGGAAATCAGAGTGGGGTCCGTGTACCCAGAGGACGTGGAGATGGAGCAGCCCGGTGGCTGGAAGCCCTGATTGACTTGGGCTGCCAGGCAGGACTCGGCAGCCAGCTGGTGCCCTAGGCCTGGGAGCTCCAAGTGGTGGGGGGTCCTGCGAGCGCATGAGGTGGGCAGTCAGTATTGTATGAGTAAACCGATTGGCTGCACACCCCCATTTACCCATCCATCTGGGGGGTGGTGCGGAGGCACGTGCACCTCTCCTCCTGCACCGTGCGGTCTCTGTTTGCACATCCCCCAGTTGGGTGCACGGCCCAGCAGGGTCCATTGAGCTTGGCGTCCACACTCAGGGCCCGTTAGGACACCCCACGGATTCACAAAGTCCCCTTTGCCATTGTGAGTGCGCAGCCGCGGCCTCAGCATCCTTTACCTGCAGGGCCCGGCGTGCGCCCCGGCGATGCCGGCAGGTGGCGCCGGGGAGCTGCGGCCGCGGCGGAACCACGGCCGTCTCGGAACAAGGAGGCGCAGTATCAAGATCCAGCCGGAGGCCGGAAGTGCAAGGCTGGGGCCGCGCCGGAGGCCGGAAGTGCGTGTGTTGATCCCGGAAGTGGGCGTCTTGAGCGGTTCTGCGAAGGCGGAGAAGGGCATCGTGAGGCTGGGCGCCCTTTGAACGTGGGGAGAAGTGACGCTGGTGGCCCTGGCGGGCCGATCCTGGCGGGAGCATCCCCGGGGCGCCTGCCTTCGTTCTGGCGGTGACCAGCTGCAGTGTGGTCAGCCCAGGGGCTCCCTTGTGTCCTCTCTGGCCTCTCCCCTCCTGCAGCCAGGTGCGCGGGCAGGGCCTCCCCGAAAGCTTGGCGCATCGGGCAGGGGCGGCGACTCCGGCCGGCCAGCCGCCCTCCAGCCGTGGCAGGTGACGACTCCCACTGTATTTTACAGGAAGGAGGGCGACTTGGCAGAGATCTGTCCAGTGTCAGATCATGGCGATGTCCTGCTAGCTTTTAGAAGTACTGTTCAGCCTCCACTCTGGACGAGTTATGACCCAGCATCTTATTCCTCCGTCCGCAAGCTTCATGTCTGTAAGGGCGGGAGGTTTCTAAGTGAAAGGAGGTGATCTGTCTGCGCCTCTTGTCTTGAGACTGAGCTTAAGGACAGAGGGACGAGAATCCCTCCTCCATCAGTTTAGGGGAGGAGAGTTGGCACCCCCGGCTCCCACTACTGCTAATAATTGACCAGTCAGAAGCGTCTCTGAGTTAAGGCATTGGCCAGGCGAAGCTTACTGTGAATCTCTGTCTCCCAAGGGCCTCTTGTAAAATCAAGCCAGTGAGATAGGCTGGACACCCTGAGGACAGTGAACGCCTCGGTGGCCGGGAGAGAGGACACTGGACAGTACTGCCTGCTTCCCAGAACGTGCTTATGCCTCTGTCTCCTGCGCGGTGAATGTTTGTCCCTGTGTACTGTGGCTTTTCTGGGTGTGTACCTGTGGGGTACAGGCCAGGTGCACGTGCTCTGTCCCATCAAGCCCCTGGGCCTGGCTACTCTTTGCCTCCTGCTTGCTGCCCTGCCTGTGGCTGTATAGGGTCTCCACTGGCCTGTCCTGGGCTGACCAGTTACTGCACCTGATGACCAGAGGTGTCCCAACGACTGGAGGTCACTAGGCTTATTCTGTTTTCTAGGTGTTAAGAACCACATCGCACCCAGTACCAACAGACCTGCAGTTCCCAGTGCGGCGAGCGAGTGGAGTTTGCTGTCCCGAAGTATAGAAGCAGTTACTCAGCTTGACCCCTGCATCCTTTTTGTGAAATACTGAAGGCATGGAAACCGAGGGACGTAGGGATAAAATCCGGGTCCTACCCACATGGATGACAGCTGAGGGGCCTCAGAAGACGGTGGGGTCAGCAAAGACCCCCAAGAGGAGGAGAACTACTGCACCGTCGGCATCAGCAGCAAGGTGGGCTGCTTGAGGAGCAGGGAGGAGGAATGGGCTGGGTCATCCACTTGGGCAGACGGGACAGGCATTGGCTCCTGTCTGCTGGGCGCACCCCACACACAAGGGGTCCCTCCACCTCTCACTATTTCTCGCTGAAAAATAGAGCAAGTGCCACATGGGGTTGGCCATATCTGACCTTTACCCACATGGGGTTGGCCATATCTGACCTTTACCCACATGGGGTTGGCCATATCTGACCTTTACCGGCTTCGCAAAAGGGAACTGTCCCTGTCAACAACATCAGCAACACAAAACCAATTCCCGTGAGGTTGGACATGTTTCCCGTGCTCCTCTACCTCGTTCTGCTCATCTCAATTCCAGTCTTAAGGCTTGACTGGGTCCAAAGATTCAATGCAGTAGCTCTCAGACCACACAGAACTATATTGGGAAAATGAAAAGGTTATAAATCAGGTTAGTAGCAGAATATAGTCAGGACGCCTTCTGAAAGGTGCTCACAATCACTTGAGCCTTGAACCTTGTGGCTTAAGGCCAGTGTTAAAAGTTCTCAGTCCTGCCAGTATCGGCTCCCCCTCCCCAGGTTGTCAGAGGCTCTTGGTTTAGCTCTGGTTCTGTCCGTCGGGTAGCAGGCCCAAGGCAGCTCCATTTACATACTGACTTTCTGCTCCTGTGATAACAACTGTTGTAGCTGTTGTTCTAGTTAGGGAGGACAAATTGCCCTGGTGCTTCTTTGATGGTGAGGAAGAACTCTGACTTCTGCCGCTGGGCTCACTCAATTTAACGGCGATACTAGCCAGGCCCCTTGTGAATAGGCACCTGTACCCTGTTTGCATGTTCCTTCCCATCCCCTTGGCAAAGTCAAGTTCAGTGGCTAGTAAAGCCATTTTGAATCATAAACTCCACATTAACTCTGAGCCGGGCTCTGCAGGTGGCTGTCCAGGACACACGCTGCCCACTTGTAACAAAGGTTTCACCAGCCAGTCAGGAAAGAGCTCAGAAGGTGCTGTGGCTTGTGCTGTGCTCACCACAGGTCAGTGGCTCCAGTCCACCAGCTGCCCAGCAGGAGGAAGATGGGCAGTCTCCTCTCACAAAGGTGCACCGCTTCAGACACGCCATGGCGGGTTGCCGTGGAGTCTGAAATGGCTTGGATGGTCTGGTCTCCTGTCCTTTCCTGTCCTGGCTGTCCTCTGGCTGGGCCGCCTGGGAGGACTGGGTGTGTCGAGGTGCTGGCCCTGCCTCGACTCCGACACGGGGGCTTGCTGAGAGGCTGGAATGTTACCTGAGTGATGGTCATTCCTGGTTTGTAGACTGCCGCCATCAGGTGGGACACGTTGTGACCGTCATAGGACATCCCCGCCACGTGTACTGGGCAGCCCCCAGGCCTTTTAACATCCTTTTTTAACTTTTTAATTGTTAATTTGGGTAAAATTTTAAAGAGCAGAATCATTTTGTTTTATGACTTCGATCACCAGTGAGGACATTGCTTGTAGTTGGTGACATGCTTGTAATTGATGTGTACTGTCGAGTCGGGAAGACTCATAGTTGACCTTCCAGCGGATTTTCAGAGGCAATAAATTACACAGGAGGAGATTGTCCATCCTTCTCCTGTGGAGCTGCTAGTGGACTTGAACTCTGTGCCTTTGGAATTGCAGTGCACCTTCTTAATACTAGGTCACCAGAGCTCTCTCCTTGTCACTAGTGACCGTGGTTATAATTGGTTACACAGTGCAACAGCATTCTTCCTCCTTCCCTCCTGTGTTTACCGGCTCCATCTTTCCTTTCTGGTCCCTTCCTGCCTTCTGAGTTTTGTCCTTGGCCACACGCTGCCCTTTTGAGCTGCTTGGTTGATCTGATTGTTGTTTGCTTTTTCTTCACTGCTTGAGCCCTTTCTGACAGCTTTCCTCTTCCTTCAGTGACCTTTGGCTTGTGGATCTCTTGGGAGGTTTGTGTGTCCTTCATAGTTTGACCCTAAGGCGCTGCTGTGGGTCCCAGTGTATTGGTTCCGGGAGGGAGAGGAAGAAAGGTTCCTGGAAGGTCAGGCCAGAGGTGCTCAGGCCTGGGGAACTGGAAGTGGATGCCGCTCCTGGTCACCCTCATCTTCTTGTCTCTGCCCCAGACTTCCTGCCCGGAGGACCGTGTACTGCATGAATGAGGCGGAGCTCGTGAATGTTGCCCTGAGCATCCTGATTGAGGTGTGAACTCTACCCCAGTGCCACCTTCTAGACTCTCAGTCTGATTTATTCAGTTATCAGGCTTGAAGAGAGATGAGGTCATGGGGGATCGAACTGATGGGAACCAGGGTCTTCCTCTTTATAATGCTGGCACTAGAAGGCTCACCCACGGCTGTGTTTTCTTCCGTCTTAGCTGTCCCTCTGTAGCCCGTGCTGCTCTCCTCAGGTCACGTGTCAGGGACAGCAGGCCCTCCTGGTAGAGGCTTCAGCCGCTGGGCCTCCCAGAGCAGAGCCTCAGCCCCTGTCTCTCAGAGCCTCATCCTTTGTCCCTCCCAGAGCAGAAAGTTTCTGAGGTTCCCTGACTCGTGAAAACCATAGTAATGATCATCATTACTCAGAGTTGTCTAATTAAGTGAGCTTTGGTGGCACGGAGTTGTGCTGCCAACACAAGGGCCCGTGGTTCAAATCCACCAGCTGCTCTGTTGGAGTAAGATGGGGATGGTCAGCTCTGGGTTGGTTCGGACTTGACAGTAAACAAGTTACGTATACACTCCCTCCCTAAATTTCCAAAGTAGCAATTTCTGGCATTATCATTCCCATTTTACAGATGCTAACACTGAGACCTTAGAACCAATATATGCGAGATCGATCTTGCTCCTGACCGAGAGCTCTCAGCTCTTTCCTTGTCTCATATACAGTTTATTTTTTCTGTGACGCAGTAGTGAAAGAGCCCTGGTGGTGCTTTGTTTCTAGCATTGCCATGAACTGCAGGGCTGGCAGTTCAAACGCAGCAGCCCTCTTTGAAAGCCAGGCCATCTGGAAGCCCAGTGGGAGGTTGTTTGATCCTGTGGGAAGTGTACCAATGCAAACTGACTGGGCGCCATGCTTTTTTTTTTATGCCCCTAACTCCGTGTCCCCCAGGTTGGCCCTGATTCCCTGGGAAGCTGTGAGGGGTTGTACGAGGGGGGAAGGAGGGAAGACAGGTGGGTATCAGTGTCCCTGATGTCTCCAGGAGGCACTGGGAAACACTGCTGTCCTCTGTTCGCAGGGCCGCAGACAGAAAAACCCTCCAGAGAAGGACACAGCCAGGCCTGGTAATGGGGAGCACTCCCGCACCCCCCTCATGTCACCACGGTCCGAGGGCACCAGTGAGGATGAGAACAGTGGGGCAGAAGCCTTGCCCCCCAGCACGACCCCCTCCCAGGGGTCTCAGAACTCTGACTCCGCCCTCACCTGCAGCCAGAACCCAGCAGAAGAGGACGACACCCTGAAATACGTCAGGGAGATATTTTTCAGCTGAGGAACAATTGGGACTTTTTTTGCCGAGAGCTGCTCATGGACAGAGCTGACGGCTGTCTGGCCTCAGCCTCTGAATCCCTGGTGCAGACTTGCTGGGCGGGGGCACACCCACCCCAGGGCACACTCCTGGAAGCAAATCCACAGTGTGGGGGCACATCCACCCTGGGGCACATGCCTCTAATGGAGACACACCCACCCCGGGGTACTCTCCTGGGAGCACATCAGTGTGGGGGCACACCCAGCCCAGGGCACTGTCACTCTGCAGGTTTTCTGTGCAGGACAATCCACTGGTCACTCTCCCCAGGGTTTGTGCTGGTTAATTAAAGCAGACTTTGGTATAACAAGACTTGTCTGTTTTGGGGGTGCACGGCTTGCAGGTCCTGAAGGACAGGTCACCCACCCTAGGAAGTAGCAGGTCGTCTGGCCCACTGCTGGGCACCATCTGCTCATGCAGGGTTTCTGGTGCCTCGTACACAGGAGGGGGCAGACCCCTCAGACCTCCCCACCCAGCAGTCTGCGTGGGACAGGGTCCCAGGGCAGAGGATACTGTGTCTTGGTCAGGCATCTGCTGAGTGCACTGTTCCCTGTCCCCAAGTGTCCCATCTCCACGGCCTGTGTCCAGGTTTCTCAGGCAGCCTTCTAGAGAAAAACCAGCGACCCGTCTGTACATGAATATACACACAAGGGTTTAGTTCAGCGTCTTGTGCACAATGGGGCTGGCACATTTTCAAGCCCATTTTTCTGACTTGTGTATGCAGAGGCTGCAGACCTCAGGTAGGCACCTGGCAGCAGGCTGCTGGTTTGTCAGCCTGGCAGCGAGGTCAGGCAGGAGGAGAGCACATGAGCTTTGCCAGAATGTCCTTTATTGAGGGCAGCCCTGGAAACATTTACATGAGCTTACAAAGTGAAGAAAATTAAAATACTGAGAATTGTGGCCTATACTGGTTGACATGTAACAGCTGCTGAAACAGAGGTGGACTGGCTGTCCCCTTGGCCACACTGCAGGGACCGGCCAGTCTGCACCTCTCCTCTGTGCAGTGTTCAAGGGTTTTCTTCCCAAATTCTTCAGCCTGTCCTTTTGGGGAGGGTGGACCCTGGGCCCGCACAGCCAGCTTCAGGAGGGGAAGCACTGGACAGGTCTGGTCCCTCAGGTGTGGTGCACAGCAGGGACAAGGCAGCATGAGATGAGGCTGCCCAAGGCATAAGCATGCGCTGTCCTTGGAGGCCCCCCATTTGTTGCATGAGCCTTTGGGGTCCCCTTTGTCAGCTTCCAGGCCTGTGACACCCCCTCCTGAGGACACAGCAGGAGGGGTTTGCTCAGCTTTATTAAAGTGACACTAAGCTGTGAGGTTTTGGGGTGGCAGGCTTGGAGGCCCTACAGACAGACCACCCACGCCACACTTCAATGCCTACTGGTCCTTGGTGGCTTTTGGCTGCTCTGTCCAGTGGCCCTAGTCCTGTGGCCACAGACGAGGCCTCGGCCGTGGTCATTTGCAGGGAGAAGGGCACCTCTGAGCAGAGTTCAGACACCGTCTGCAGGCCAGGGGTGAGCCCGCGGGACTAGCAAATAGAGGGCTGCTGCTGGCCTTTGCTCGGCTGCGGCGGAAAGGCAACCATGGCCAGGAGCAAGAACATGAGGATGACCTGGATAGTGGCCAGGGTGAGGAAGCCGGACCCCAGCAGCACAGGCTGCAGCCACCTCCGCACAGAGCACAGGAAGAGGCCCAGGCCGACGGGCAGCAGCATCGAGGACACGGCTATGAGCACCATGCTCAGCTGCCACCCCCTCTCGTTGCCTATGCGAGGGCTCAGGAAGAGTGGCAGGAGGGCGAAGATGGTCAACAACATGGCGCCGTAGACCAGCAGGCGGGCCAGGGCCAGGCTCAGCCAGGACACGCCAAGGGCCTGCAGCTCTGTGGCCTGGAAGCATTGCAGGCCGCCGGCGCTCTGGTTCCACAGGCACAGGTTGTAGAAGCCGATGCGCAGGTCCTCCAGGTCCGTGAGGTCGCCGGCCTTCCACACCAGGATGTAGAGGAACAGGGCGATGACCCCCCCGACGTTGCATGCGGTCAGGAGCACCTTTCCCATCTGGCTGCTTCCTTCCGGCTTCAGGTTGGTGGTCATTATCTCCAGGCACCTGAGGGGGAGGAACCCGTCAGTGGCCAGCTCCCCCTCTCCTCCCCAGCCCTTTTCCGAACCATGTCAGACACGCTTTCTGAGTGGGCAGCTGCTGCCCTGGGCTGAGTTCAAGTCTCTTAAGAAGCTCCCCATTGGTTGCCACGGTAACCCACACTGACTGTGTGTTACAGTGGGACCGCTCTCCACAGGGTGCTGAGGCGACTCTTCTCCTGAGGACCTCTGGGTGGAAGGAACCTCTGAGCTGAACAGCCAGCCATGGTCACAGTCCAAACCTCCCTGACCCCTCAGGGGCCACCAGGCCAAGAATCAGAAAGATCCCCTCTAGAAGGAGTCATCAGGCAGAGAAGTCTTCAGCTGTGGTCTTAGACTGGCGTGATGGGAAGTTTTAACTGAGACAAGCCATGCACAACGGGGCCACCAGGAACAATGAGTGTGTGTGTGGTGTGTGTAGAGAGAGATGGTGGAAGGGTGTCAGGCCCCAGCAGACGGCAAATTGTGAGTCTGGGGAACAGCTAGGCTCCAGTGACAGTCTCAACATCCCCTCTTATTACACCTAGTTCAGCCTGTTATTGGATCCAAATACAATTGTTTGAAATGTCTTTGATCTGAACCCAGCTCAGCTCAAAACCTGATTGTGGTTCCTCACACCAGGTCAGGCCTGTCTTACGTTTGCCTTGTGTGCTGTCACCTGGCCTTTAAACAGTTCACAGTGGACAAAACAAAACAAATCACAAGTGGGAGGGAGGGCCAGTCAAGGTCACGCTGGCCTTGGCCTGGGCTGTGGGCCTTCCCCTGCGAGTCCCTCAGGGCTGGAGCCTGCGGGTCCACCAGGGTACTGACCCACTTGGTCGTTGTTTGCAGGCCCTCTGGCCCTCCAGTCCTCCCAGCCTCACATCCTGTCAGCTCTCCAGCCACTCTGGTCAGACATGGGCAGGAGTGAGGGCTTCCTCTCAGTCCTGAGCTTTCCCAGCACGGTTCCTGAGAAAGAGTGGGGCTTCTATGAGGAAAAGCAAGTGCAGGCCCTCTCCTTCACATACTCCTTAAGGCAGCCCACCTTCCCCAGGGCCCGGACCGTGTTTCAATCTCAGAGAAATGACCTCTGCACTCAACGTGGAGTCGTTTGATAAGTGCTTCCTCGACACATGGAAAGGGCAGGAGCTCTGGCTTCGTCCTGTCTCCTTCTGAGGCCCTCTGGGCATGTGGCCCACCAAGCCAAGGCCCCCTTTCTCTGCTGCCCCCAGAATCACCCTTTTTGTTCTGCATTCCAGTGAGCTGCTTAATTATCTCACAGAAAGCCCAGCTTCCTCCCAGGAGACCGCTGAAAGGACGCTTTCCTGTTTATAACACAGCAGTACACGCTGTGGAAAATACGTGTAAATGTGGAGAAAGGATTAAACCCTTTAACACTTCACGTGGTGCAAAGAACCATTTTTAAAAGCACATTTCCTTCTGCAATAAAGGCCGTAGAAGGCAGAGCCTGTCTCAGGCTGTCTTTCAGGGCACAAGTGGCGACAAGAGGTCTTTTACATGACACTTGAGCTATGGCTCTGAAGCCCTGAGCCACACTCCTCACGGCCTCTCATGTCACCATGTGTCCAGTGTGAGTTGTTGACCCACTGTTGTTGTTTTGTTATGTGCCATCGAGTTGCTTGCGACACATAGCGACCCTATGTACAACAGCCCTAAACTCCGCTCTGTCCTGTGCCAATCACACCGTCTCCGGTACACCCATCCCAATTACCCCAGTCACTGAATCAATCCACCTCATAGAAGGCCTTCCCCTCCTGCGCCATCCCTCCACCCTCCCAAGCATGATGTCCCTCTCCAAGGACCAGTCCCTCCTTACAACATGTCCAAAGTGTGTTAGACGAAGCCTCAGAATCCTTGCTTCCAAGGAGCCGCCCGGTTTAACCCTTTCCAGGATGAATCTGTTTTCCTAGCAGTCTGTGGTACCCTCAATACTCTTCTCCAGCACCACAGCTCAAAGTCATCAATTCTCCTATTCTCCTTAGTCGTTGGCCAACTCTGATGCATAACAAGTGATAGCAAAGACCATAGCCTGTATCAGACGCACCTTAGTCTCCAGAGAGACACCATTGCTCTTTAGTACTTTAGAGAGGTCCCTAACAACAGACTTTCCCACCGCAATATGTCTTAATTTCCTGGCTACTGGTGTCGAGAGTGTTGACTGTGTAGCCAAGCAAACTAAAGCTGTGAACAATCTCAATCTCTTCACCATCCATCCTGATGCTGCCAATTGGCCCAGTGGTGAGAATCTTTGTCTTCTTGACATTGAGCCTCAATCCATATTGAAGGCTGCAGTCCTTGACCCTCTGCAGTAAGTGCATGAGGTCCTCCTCAGTTTCAGCAAGCAGGGTTGTGTCATCTGCATAACGCAGATTGTTGACTCACTAGCAGCTGGGTTTTCAGAAGTGCTTTGATCACAAGGACGACAGTGCCCAAGTAGCACCTACTTTTTTTATTTTAAGAAAAAAAGTTTGCTTTATTTTAAAACAATAACTTCCTTACACTGCAGAAGTGGCCAAAATTCAATACTGAATAAAACATAAACTTTTTGTTAAGTGTCATCGAGTCGTAGACTACTCATAGCAACTCTATGAACGGAAATCTTGAACACGAAAAGCTTTCATCTTTTCTCTAAGTTCCCAGACTTCCGGAGGCAAGCTCTTTTGGAAGTGGATGCCACTCCTGCTTCTGAGCCTATTTTAATTAATGAGATTGACCAAACACTATCCACCATAGGTAACTTTTATCATATTTCAGACATCAGTGTCACATTGCTGTACTACTTAGAAGAATGTTTGACTGGAAACAATTACAACCAGGCCTGAGGGCGGCAAGCCTAAGGGCCCAAAAGCCTTTTTAAGCAGGAGGCCAAATTGAATCCACTCACACCCAGTTTTAAGCAATGGCCACACCCAAGTCTCAACCAAAAACCAGAAAACTAACCTTTACAGAATCCAGCTAGTCACTCTATTTATCTTCCTAGACTGAAAGCAGCCCCAGAAACTTCTTAAGCGATCAAAATAGTTATGTCATGCAAATACCTGAATTTCTCTTTAAAGGCACGGTTTTTAAAAGACACAGAGCAACTACAAACATGTGAATTACATGTATAAAATGAGCTACAATTCAAATTTCAGCTGGATAACTAACAACGAAAATGACATTTTAAAAAAATATTTGGAACACTGTACATATTTCCAATAACTTATTGAAAATAACATATTTTCAATGTGAATATTAACCTACTAATTGGATATAAATTACAATTTTTTATATCCTTCAGGAAGTAAAAGAATTTGTCCCTAGATTTAAATTGTTGTTGTTGTTGTT